ACAAAAGAGAGAGCTCAGGTCTTCAGGCTTGCTGGCAAACACCTCTACCCACTGATCCAGCTCCATGGCCCTCTGTGACATTTTCAGACTGAAGCAGTAAATGCTCATCTACTGTATGTGGCATTGGAACATCTGAAACCATATATTTCTTTACTGTTTAAACATGAGCTATGACTCAGAGCAAAAGCCCCAGCAATAAAGACACAAAAGTCTGCTGGTAGACACACATACAGAGCCCGTTTCTATTCTGACCCCATTCGATATTTGACCAATTTTTAATCTAAACAACAACAAAAACCAATTTTATATGATAGACTCAGTGTTTAGTTAATGTGACCCTTTTAAAAGGATTGTTTTGAAAATAAAAATCTTGGTCTCTTCCATGTGGTATTCATCTAGATGGACTATCGCCATCATAAATGGGTGCTTAGCATTTTCCTCTTAAGATTACATAACAAGGAAGATAAATTCAAGTATATTTTAGAAGCAGGGTCACCAGATTCAAAGAGGAAAGTGATGATAGCACCCTCTTCTGGTAGAAGGTTAAAAAGTCCTCAAATGAAAAACTAGTAAAGCAGAGAGACAAGTGAAAAAGAACAGAATAGAAGATGAGAAGAAAAAGAGAAAAGAACCAGAAATGCAAGTTGGGAGGAAAAGGTATCAAAGAGAAATATGGAAGGAGAGCAAATAGAATATGTAGTAATATAAAGAAAGAAAATTAAATAGAAAGAGCTTTATGGACGGGGGCTTTGAGATGGCTTAATGGTTAAAGCCACTTGCAGCCAAGCCTGAGAACTCCATAGCGTGGAAGGGGAGCACTGACTTCTGAATGTTTTCCTCTAACATCTACATGCACGTGCCCGCAAGCACACACACACACACACACACACACACATGCACGTGCGTGTGCACACACACCACAAATAAATAAATGTAGCTTTTAAAAATGTTTTTAATCAGCAAGAGCAACTAGAATTAGAAGCAAAGGTCAAACAAGCAATGGGGTGTGAGGATACTTTCATTGGGCATCTCCATAGCAACACTGAGAACACTGACCATTTTCTAAACCGTCATGTTCTCAAACAGGATCCAGGACCATGACAGTTCATCCAATCATCACCCTTAGAATTTCAACAGTATTACAAATATTTTAAAATTCTGATCTGAAAAAAAGTGTGTTGTGTGTATGTGTGTGTGTGTGTGTGTGTGTGTAGTACAATCACAGCCCTGCATAATCCAGATTCATTTGATTCCATTGTTCTAAGGAGATGTTTACTGCAGACACTATTTATATATTTATAGTATGGAAATTATAAATTCCAGTGTTCAGAGCCTGTGGTTAGAAACTGAAGAGACCCCACCCTGTCCCCTGTTCTGATCAATAGAACAGATATGGGCAATGCCTGGCAGAAGTCCATTTGTATGAGTCAGGTGGTTTTCTGAAGCAGTGGGATTTCTCAGTCCTTAGGTTAAGTTTCAAACCTATGCTCATTGGAACCTCATAAACCTAGGAGAGGGCAGAGGAGGCTCATGAGGCGTTTGAACATAGGCCCTACAACCAGAGAAAACTCACAGCTACGCCTACCCATCCTCTAAGGTGTTGAAACAAATGTACATAGAAGTCAGGGTTAAAACTGACACTTGGAAAGACTTCTGGGTGACTTTATGCAGGTGTGTGTGTGTGTGTGTGTGTGTGTGTGTGTGTGTGTGTGTATACATGTGTATGCAGGTGTATGTGGGTTGGGGCAGAGGTGAATGAGAAAACCAGAGGTCAACCTTGGGTATTGCTCAGCCAGTGCTGCCCACCTCATTTTCGGAGACAGTCTCTCACTGGCCAGGAACTCGAGAAGTAGCCTGGGCTCGCTGGCCAGCGAGCCCTAAGGATCCACCCATGTCTGCCTCTGAAGCACTGGGGTGAGATAGACGCTGTCATGCCTGGCTTTTTAAACATGAATTTTGGGACTCATACCCAGGTCCTAGTGTTTGCACAACAAACATTCACCAGCCGAGCCTTTCCACAGTCCAGATGGCACCCAGTGTCACCACAGAAGTCTATAAAGCATCTTCAACAGAGTTCCAGCCGGTGACACTGATGCTGTGCTTGCTCTGTTTTTGGCAAGCCATAAGTCTACATGGCAAACCACCAAAGGGTGAAATGCAGGAGGGGACATGGGTATGGGGGCTGCATTGCTCCAGAGGGCTTCTGGGAGGGAAAAACTCATATGCAGAGAACAAGACCTTGGAATGGGGGCAGCGCCAGCAAGAGGCCTGGAGCTTCATGGTGCCCCTGGGTTCATGGTGCCCCTTCCCCCACCTCCAGGCCTGGGCTAGCTGTTTAAGTCAACAAAATGATATTTGTTATTACACATCTCAGAAGTCACACTAACCTCCACATTGTTTAAGAAGCTTCTGTTGGGTACTCATAAGCTGTGCTGCCAGGCTAGATGGGGAAAGGACTGGAGAAGAGAATGGGCCAGCAACGGGGGGATTCAGACCACTGGAATGACAGGGTGTGGTGACTGCACAGGGAGTCCCAGCACTCAGAGGGGTTGGGGACAAGAGTTGGAAGCTAGGCAAAAGAGAGAGGGAGGAAAAGAGGTGACAGGGGACAGGGAAGGACAGTGTGTGGGGCCCCAGATCCCCTCACGCTCTCACTGTGTGGTCTGGCAAATCCCCCCTCCCAAGCTCCAACCTATCCACTTCCCTTTCCTGGGAGTCTGTAAGAACCAGTCAGAAGACTTGGGCTGGTCCCTCAGATAGAATTTGCCAGTTAGTTTCCAATATGAAGCATTTTCTTCAGGTCAACAGAGACAAGCAGTCTGCACCTTCCTTAGTTATGAGGATTAGTGTGGACACGAGCAAGAGCCCTCACTGTGCCTGATGACAGCAAGAATCTGTCATCCAGAAAAGGCCATTGGTTTCCCAGCTGGAGCCTCCCAACCTGCCCTGTGACCCAGGTTCATTTGCATACAGGTACCTGTAGCGCCATACCCAGCCTCCAGAAGCTGAGGTACTCTAGGAGCCAGGGTGTCTCTGCCAGCAGGAATCTTAAAAGGTGATTGTTACAGAACAGTCTGACAAAGTAGAGTCTCTCTGACCTTGATATCCTGGAAGCAGATGTTTAATCAATGAGGCTGCCCCATCAGGGCCAAGCTCATGTGCTACGCAAAGCAGACAGTGGTGCCTGAGCATAGCCCTGCTGCCCTGGAAGATCAGGGTGCTTCTCTAATGCTCCCCAGATAGCTTGGCGTGGGAGTGCGAGGGGAATGATTTGGGAGAGTGAACAGTGCATGCATTAGTGCCTGCTTCTTTCCGTGGTCTTCTCATCCCTTTGAACAGCGACTCCCCATTCAGTCCCCCTCCTTCTTGGTCCCCCCAGCCCTCCTCCCACCTCCATGTTTCTTTGACATTCCATTGACTGGATGAGACAAGATTCCCCATCCCCAAGTCTTCTGCCAGAGCTTCTCTTTGAGTTTGGCTCCCGCATGGGCTTCAAACTTCTAATAAGCTACCAACTCCTCGGGGCCTCGGTTTCTCTTCCAGGCTCATGGAGAGAGTGGGGAACTTGAGAAAGGCATGCTCCCGGAAGGGTGCGTGCACAACAGGGAATGAGATAGAGATTGGCAACCTCGCACGGTTGCCCCCATCACTCTCGCTCCCGTTAAGACTGCCTTGTGTGTGTTCCCATTGCTGCCTCTGGGCTGCCAAGGATGAGAGGTACATCTGGTTGTGCCTATTGGCAATAACAGGGCTGTGAGTATGTAGTTTGGTAGTGACTTAAAAGTCAGGGACTACTAAGCCAAGTAAAGCAATTTACCAATATTTATACATCATAGGTCGCCGGGCGGTGGTGGCGCACGCCTTTAATCCCAGCACTTGGGAGGCAGAGGCAGGCGGATTTCTGAGTTCGAGAATTCGAGGCTAGCCTGGTCTACAGAGTGAGTTCCAGGACAGCCAGGGCTACACAGAGAAACCCTGTCTCAAAAAACAAAAAACAAAACAAAACAAAAAATCGTAGGTAGTAGTGGTTGGTCTGCTTCAAAAAAAAAAAAACAAAAAACAAAAAAAAAGCTTCAAGCACTAGATCCATCTAGGTGTGATGTCTTGAGTAGCCCCACCCCCACCCAGCCCTGTGTGCTTTAGGGTCCTTCCTATGTAAAGACAGGAAGCTTCCTATGTAAAGACAGGAAGCTGGCTTGTTCCCCCAGAATAGGGCTCCAGTGGGTAGTTTGACCCAAAACCCACACTTGTGTCTCCTTGCTATGTAAAGCTGCCTCTGCCCCTACTGCGGGGCTCTGAGCAGGATGGAGTTCCGGAGTCCCTCATTCTGCATGTAGTGTCTCTGGTTGTCCTGAAGGTTCTATGCACTTCAAAGCCAGGGTTGGCAGAGGAACAGGGATTCTCATCCCACTTAGAAATACAATGTGCCTCGCTGTCATGTGACATGACCCACCTGTAGTCACAGCACACAAGAGACAGAACAGGTCTCTGGAGCAAGCTGGCTCACTAGACTAGCCAGATTGCCGGATTCAAGGGAGAGTCCCTGCCTCTGTATATAAACCATAAAGAGAGATGCTGATTTCAACCCCCATATGTACACGCACGCGCGCACACACACACACACACACACACACACACGACATGTACACATGTATACATACTTGAATGCACATCACATACAAATACACAAAAACAAAAGTTCTCAGCTGAGCTACAAGAAGCAGTAGCCTCTATTAAGTTTGGTATGAAGGGCATGGGAGTTATAACTTGTAGCTAATATTGCACCCTGGAGGCCCACCAAGGTACTTTATTCTGCCACACAAGTTTGTATGTGTCATGTGCTGGGGACTCTCCTGATTGTCTGTTCCTTGCCTCTGCCTTACTGACAAGATACTAATGGTTTCTCTTCTCCCTCACCTATCCTCCCCTGCCCTCCCCTCTCCTTTTCTTTCCATTTTCTCTCTACCTTTTCTTTGCTGGCTCCCGCTGCTGTTCTCTAGTGCGACCAAGACCAGTGCATTCAGAGCACCAAATTCGTTTTGCAGGCCGCAGCCACTCCCCTGCTTCAGAGCGAGCCCAGCCTCACCAGCGAAGAGCTGCATATGGCTGGGAAGCCGGGCCTGGGCACCCCATGTGCTAGCCTGACGCTGGGCCAGCCCACACCACCCTCCTCCATGCCCAACCTTGCCACGGAGGCCACACTCTCAGACATTATGCCCCTGAAGGATGAGCATGGGGGCCACCAGTTTCTGACCCCAGATGAGGCACCGTCACCGCCAAGGATGCTGGGGGCAGGGAGCCCCCTGGCACACAGCCGTACCATGCACATGCTGGGCCTGGCCAGCCAGGACTCCCTTCACGAAGACTCCGTGAGGGGCTTGGTAAAGCTCAGCTCCGTGTGACCGCCATGGCCAGCGCTGGGGACCACAGGTGACAAACAAACAAAAACAAATTACTGGACATAGCCAAACGGACGTTTTGTTTGGAATCTGCAGAGTGGGCCAGGGGAGGGGAGACCCTCAACGGGAGGAGCCTGGAATTGAAAGAGGCTGCGTGGATGCAGCGCCCTCTGTCGGCTGCTCTTGGGACAGACAGGAGGAAAGTTTTCGACACTGGTGGCCAGACTGAAATCGGACTTAATGTTACGCTACTAATTGAAATCGACCTGCTGTTCCATTTGTTCATTAAAACAAAACGAAACAAAAGTCCCAAAGGGAAAAGCCGGCCAGACATGGGATTGCATGCCGCACTACAGTCTGTGTTACAGTGGTGGGATTCCAGAAGAAAAGCTTTCTCTCTGTTTGCCTTCTTTTTAATCTTGTGAAACTTTCTAGTGCGACAGACAGAGCCCGATGGGCGATGCGGTCCTTCGTGACTTACTGGACTTAGCTGTATGAGGATGGGCATTCCCCGATGAAGAGGGCTACTGGGTGGGCATCCTCTGCTGCAGAGGGCAACTGGGGTCCATCCTGCCCTGGACAGACATTTTAACCCTCTGTCAATGCTTACACTGGTGTCGTATTGTGCCACCATGGGGCAGTCTTCGCCTCCTGTGTGATGACCTTCCTGTGGACAGTCAATAAAATGACTCCTCTGTTATTTTCTTGATCTGTATCCAGCTGTCAGCATCATACATGTGGTTTCTTATGTGTTCACATTATCTCCGGTACGGAATCATTTAAAACAGCCAAAGTTCAGATCTTCAGTCTGTGGATTATAGTTTGGCTTCTTAGATGGGACTGAGCTTGCCAAGAGTCCCTAGCCCTAACACCCACCTTCGTGGTTATTTTTAATACAGGCTTATGGGGGATTGTTCTGAACTTAGAGCCAGCCACACCGTAATTATGTGTAGTAGAGGGAGGGGTACCCAGGAGAAGGGATGTTGTCTGACTGTCTTCTCGGTTCTATGTGATGTTGGGGTGCTGCAGACCTTATAGACATACTTCATGGTCCATGTGAAGTAACACCAACCCCACACTGGGGCTGAAGTCACACATGGTGACAAAAACAAGATGGCGGCTTCACTCCATCTGTCACCTGGAAGGGAGCCGGCATCTTTAGGGAGCCAGACTATCTGGAAGTAGCTGCAAGAAACTTACCAATGCTCTGCAGCCTTCACTTCCAGCTCCACGTCCGATGCCAGATCCACAGAGTTCTTTGTGACTGAACACAAGTGTGCATGTCTCATTAATACAGTAGACTATTTCACTCTGGATAAAACCAATTCCACTCAGGACAGGCAAGCATTATGCTGAAAAATGGCTGCCAATGTCTTCCTTGTGACATCTCCAAGTCACCTTCACTGTTATGCCCATGACAGTGTAGAAATCGGAGAAGGTGAATCATATGTAGCTATTTTTTTTAAGTTTTCTAGACCTAATTATTTGTGATTTGAGACAGAACTCTTCTTCCACAACCACACACAGTCAAACGCTCCACCTATGAGCAGATACCCACAAAGTCCCTCCCTTGTCAACCACCCCCTGCCTCCCACCAGCTCCTTACATGGGGCCAAGTGTGGCCTGGTCTTTCCCCAGTTTTTACCCCTTGGGATGGGGTGAGGGAGCTAGTCTTTAGAGTCCTAACATTCCTGATACCCCTAATATAGTGGCATTTAAAAAATTCCAAGAAGCAACAATAAGTTACTGAATACAGCTGCCCCTCTTCCTCCCCTTTCAACTGCGGATTCAACCAACCATGAAAATATTTGAGGGAGAGGGTATCTACACTGAGTTGTGTGGACATCTTTCCTTGTCATGTTCCCTAAATATTGTTAGCTGCATTATGTTAGCTATGAATCTCCCAGAGCTGAGTCAGCATCTACAGAAGGATGTGTCTGTGTTCTGTATGCAAACAGTGTTCAGTGTTACTAAGAGACCTGCGCTTCCTTCCATAGACAGGAGCTTCCCTGGGACTCTGGATCCAATCCCCTAAGGACACACTGAGGAACGAATACACTTATTATCGATCACCCTGTTCTAGCCCCATCCTCTATACATATGTGGCACCATTTTTTAAATAGGGGTTTGGGGAGCTTGGTAAAAATGAATCGAGACTATTCAGGGTCTGGGGGTATGGAACTTGAATGAGACAATTGGCTAAAACAATTGAAACTATAAAGCCCACAAAATGTCCATAGCCCTTTCTTCCTGTTCAGGAATAAGTGACTGGGCTCTTAGGGTCCCCACTTCAGTGATGGGGTGGAGGGGCACCATCCAGAGGTGAGTGGCCTGCATTTCCCATTAACTGGGTCCATCTAGTGTGGCTGAGTAGACCTTGGCATTTCTAAACGCTTCTAGAGAGATAGCAATCAATTGACTGCTCACTAGAAAAAAAAAAAGAAGATAAATATTTTACTATGCTATTAAGGTTTGGGCTATTAACACACTTACGGGCCGAGGGGTAAAATTTCACCTGCTTTGCATTCTCCCACCAGAGACTATAAGCCTCTTGTGCACTTGAAAATTGGACTTAGAGCATCCTGGTCCAGATCTGAGAAGGATGATATGACTGATAGCCTGCTTCTGAGCAGACAGGCTGGCAATGTCACTCTGTGCCAGGAGCAATCAGCACGGTGCCATGCTGTGCCCACTTGAAAAACGTTCAGTCCAGCTTTGGATGTGATTGTTCAGCATGGGAGAATGATGTTCTATCCTGAGGCAGCAGAGTGACAGATACCTGTTCCCACCAGTGAGTGTCTCAGAACTACCCACACCTCCAAGTCTGTTCAGTCTTTGCCTGTGTCAGCCAGGGTCACTGACGTAACGTGTAAGGTGTTACACGCAACTGCAAAACAAGATACAGACTCCATTGTGCAAGCCATGTGACACCAAGCCCTGAGTGGGTAAGCCTTAGCATGCTTCACACCCTAGGCCTTCACGCCTTCTCTAGACCCACAGCAAGAAATGAATGTATCCAAGTTGCAGTAGGTATCTGGGGTACAGGGCTTGGTGGCATCTCCAGGAATGGAGGCAGAAAGGAACCTTTCAAGGGCTTCAGAGAACTCTCCAATCCAGCATCAGCACATGTTCCAATCAGAGCCGAGCCTACCCACAATCCTCTCTGGACCTTGAATCAGCTGCTTCCCTGCCATGGCTTCACGTTGGAGCTGATTGGCTGGTGTCGGGTCTGCCTGGATATGAATTAGGGTCTTTCCCACTGGGAGTTTTGTTCTCGTCCGCACCAGGAGCCTCTTCAGCTCATTGAGTTCTTCAAGTAAGAAGGGAGTAAAGAGAAATAACGTCGGGTATATTTTCTAATACCTCTAAACTATTCTGAAGCCGAGCCTAAATTAAATTGATGATTATGGGGGTTTTTGCACTAAATGCATTGGTTGTGGGAAGTTAGCATGTTCTTATCCAAAAGGAAGAGAACTCTGAATAAGTTTTCATTCCCCACAGTCTCCTACCCTTGTTCTGGAGCGCTGTCTCTAGGGCGCTATGTGCTGCTTTCCATGTTAGCTTATATAACTCTCTTGGCTAGTTCCTGAAGTCTAGCCCACCCTTCAGTCACTGCTCTCCCTCTTTCACTCCTTTTCTTCTAAGTTCCCTAGTCTACGTCCTCTACACACAAGCCCTTCACCTTCTCAAACGCCTCTCCCTCCACTTCTCTTCTCTTCCCTCCTTCCTGTCTTCCCTATTTCTCTTGGTAAGTTAGTCAATGAGCTGGTGTGTTGTTTTCTCTGAAATAACTACCACATATGAACAGTGTGTAAATCCTCTTCTGGAGCTGTAGGATATGGCTCGAATGGGATGGCTCAGTGGATTTTCAAAGATAACTCCTGGTGCATTAATCCAGCCATTACAAAATAATTGAGCACTGGAAAATTAGATTGGACTACAGCAGCCCTGTTTGGAGTCACGAAACTAGATAAATAGCTTCAACCGGAATGATTGTGTGTGCATGTGTGTGTGTGTGTGTGTGTGTGTGTGTGCTCACAAACCCTGGGAATTATACTCAGAAGGAATTGGAAGATGCACACATACCCCATGTTGTTGCAAAGATTTTATTCTATCAGATGATGAATTCTTAAAAGAAACTAATTCATATGACAGAGATATGAATTAGCAACTCTTTGTTTGCCTGGATGTCTTAAGTCATGGAGAGAATAAAGGATCCCACCTGATCAGGCCAAGTAGATATGCCTTGAAATTGTAGATAAATCGAGACAGCAGAGATGCCGGGAAAAAGAATAAGAAGACTTAAGTCTTGATAATTTTTTTGTCCAGAGCACCATGAATATATATTTCATTATAGTCAAATGTTTTGTCATGAAAAAAAGAGAGTAAAGAATTTAAAACTCTTAGTAGTCAAAGCCCTGACCCTGGGCAGTGGCAACCTTGCTGTCCGAAGCCTTTCGTATTTTCAGAGAGCTTTATGCTTAAAGAGCCTGCCAGGAGCTAGCCAGTGCACACAGAGCTGATCTTATACCTGAAACAAATTAAGAAGCATTTGCCTCCTTTCATTAAAAACTGCCAGTTACATAGCATGTAAACTTTATTCATGAGAGAGCTTGTCTGGGCCAAGGAGGAGTAAGAAAAAGAGAGTCAACATATAAGCTGCGTGTGTGTATTTGTGCATATGTGTGTGCGTATGTTTGTATGTGTGTATTTGTGTGTGTGTATGTGTGCATACTTGTATGTTTGTGTGTGTATTTGTATGTATGTGTGTATATGTGTGTGCATGTTTGTATGTTTGTATGTGTATTTGTATGTGTATATATGTGTGTGTGTGTGCATGTTTGTGTGTGTGTGCATGTTTGTGTGTATGTGTGTATGTGTATGTGTGTGTGTGTATATGTGTGTGTGTGTGCATGTTTGTGTGTGTGTGCATGTTTATGTGTATGTGTATGTGTGTGTGTGTATATGTGTGTGTGTGTATTCATCTGCTAAGAAATCAGCTTTCTTAAAGCTATAGATCTCAGTGTTTCCATTCAGAAACAACTATAGAGAAATGCAGAAATCCAGCCCCACCCCAACCACTCATAGATGCTCAATTCCTCCGTGTCCGTACCCTCTAGCCCCCAACAAAAGCAGATAGAAATTATGTTTGACTACTGGGGTTTTTTTAAAGCCTAAATAATAGTGACTTAGAAAATTAGCTGTCTTCTCAGTCCTGCAATACAAGTATAGAGACAGGCAAATAGCGGTCAGTGTGCCCTTGTCGGCACAGGTATGGAGTTCCTTCTGTCTCCATTCTGCTTTTCTTAAAATGGCTTTGATTCCTATAGTCAGTTCATGGTCACAAAACAGGCCCTGCAGCTCAACCATCAAAGCCACATTCCAGGTAGAAGTGCTAAGGCCAGGAGCCTGCTCTCTTGCTAGAGCACTCCCAGTGTCCCACCGCCATCCCCAGCTCCATAATCAAAGTGACCTTGCACGACCACTCATAGCCAAACATGAAACATGGGGCATATGTTTTCACTGAGCACATGGCTACCTCAAATCTTGGGGTTCTGTTGGCAAGGGAAAGGGGAGGAACTGAGTACGCAGGAGACTGATAACCTCCTCCCCTCCAGCCTGCACTCATGTTTCCGCTCTGTATTCCCCCATCGCTCCCTAGAGAACTCCTAAGTGCTAGCACAGACCTGGCCAGGAATCTCCTTCTCTCTCACA